ATCTCTATTTCTCCATATATATATATATATATATATATATATATATATATATATATATATATATATATATATATATATTGTGTATTTAGGCAAATATTATTAAAGACAGCATCCTGGTTTTTTATACGGGTATATTAAAATCCATATATCAGGCAATCCACTCAGCCCTGTTATTTCACAAGTCTCCATATATCAATCATCAAAATCTTCAAAGATTTAATCGTACCGTACTTACCTACCAAATACAGTATAAGTTTTGGTAAAGAATTTTTCCAAATTCTTCACTCCAACAAGCCTCAAGTAGAAATCATCCTTAGCATCCTTAGATGTTGAAAATTTGTACACTAAGCTTCCTGTCCATGAAACAATTGACTTTATTTTAAATAAAATTTAACGTCATTCTTCTCTGCCATCTCTGAAAATTAATCCCATAATTTAAAAAAAAAATTTTCTTAGTGTCCACAGCCCAAGTCTCTTTCAAAGATCACTTCGGTAATATTTATATCCAAAATGACGGCTTTGCTATGGGTAGGCCTCTAGGCCCTTTATTTTCAAGCTTTTATCTTATTTAATTTTTACAGATATATTTTTTTATTTATATTTCATTTTTTTACCCCTCGTACATATATATATATATATATATATATATATATATATATATATATATATATATATATACTACAGGGAATAAATCAGTTGATATATAATCCAAGTGGATCCTAATAATATAAAATATTAAAACTGATCCACAAAAGAGCTCAATGTATTTATTATAAAAGAGCAATTATATATATATGTTATGGGACTTTACCCATAATAACATAATGGACTATTCCATACGTAATACGGGTTCATACGGCATATTTTTGGCCGAGCCCACGGGCTCGAAGATCCCACGTTAAACCGGCCTTGTACCACATGATGCCCTCGTGGAGGTGGGGGTGGGGGTGACTAAATACCGTTCACCCTGAAGTCGGACGACCAGCTGACAGGCTGATCGGTTGAACTCTCTGCCTTCGGGTGGGGATGAACCCAAACGAGGCTACGTCGAAGGGCGGAGTCTCTTTCGGCGAGGTAAACCGACCCTGAACCCGTTTATACGGGTTCAAAGGGTATATTTTTGGCCGAGCCCACGGGTTCGGAGATCCCACGTTAAACCGGCCTTGTGCCACATGATGCCCTCGTGGGGGGGTGATTAAATACCGTTCAGCCAGAAGTCGGGCGACCGGCTGATCGGTTGAACTCTCTGCCTTCGGGCGGGGAGGAACCCGAACGAGGCTACGTCGAAGGGCGGAATCTCTTTCGGGGAGGTAAACCGACCCTGAACCCGTTTATACGAGTTCAAAGGGCATATTTTTGGCCGAGCCCACGGGCTCGGAGATCCCACGTTAAACCGGCCATGTGCCACATGATGTTTTAAAACCATTTATTTTACATTTAACATCATCACTTGATAAGACACCGGAGGTGTTGAAACAAAATGGCTATTTTTGTAGTGATTTTATAACATATTTATGTTATAATTTTTTAAAATAAATAATTATATATATATATATATATATATATATATATAATTTATGGTTGCAATAATAATTACTTACTACATTCTTTCATGCTATCCTGTTTGCTTCTCATATCTTATCTTCACAGGAGTAACTTTTTGAGTTGATATTTTCGCCATTTTTTTCGGGCTTCAATAAACATATGGTTAATTTTTCTTTTCTGTTGCCCAAGACAACACTACACCTTTTCCTATTTTGTCTCTGTCTTCCTTGTCTTGAACTGTCTCCCTCAATCTCCCTTCCAGACTTGTCTTACTTTAACCCTCTTCATAATTTTATCTCTTTCTTTTTAATTTCAGTTCTTTTCCTAAATTGTCTCTCTATACGTAAGCTATCTTCCTTCGTCTTTCTTTCTAAGTTATCTCCCTTTTTTCCATATCTTTCTCTCTTTCTCACAAAACACACTTTTCCTTCTCTTTTCCCATATATATATATATATATATATATATATATATATATATATATATATATATATATATATATATATATATATATTGTTGTATCATACCTACAGACGATAATGTGTATGCCCCCATTCCCGTAAATACTGCAGTGAATACTGTATGTGTAGGCCTGCGGTCTACAGTTGGAGATTCGTCTTTAGCTGAGCTCATTAAGCTCTCTGCCCGGAGGCAGACAGCATCCTCAGACTGGGCTAGGTCGAAGGTCAAAGTCTCGTCTCGGGAAATACCTATCCGGCTTGTGCCACGTCTGACTGCGTGGGGCATTTGGTAGATACCGTCTACGGTCTGCAGTTGGAGATTCATTGTCAAATTTGCTTAACTTCCTCAGTTGACTACTACTTCTACGCGCCGCTGGCGATTCTTATATGTGTTGTTCATGTCTTAAGTATTATCGTTCATTACCAACCTTCGTGTGATTATTCTATTCAGTAACCTTCCCTAGGTTACAACATATATAAAGGTGAACATTGAAGTCAACTCTCAGAGGCGACAGACTGTTTCATGCTAAACGCAAACATCAGACCACATATGTTGTTTTTTTTCTTGACTATTTATATATAGGGGTCAGTGCTGCATTGTGAGTAGTATATTCTAACTGTTAATTTGTTTATTGTTTATACACACACACACACACATATATATATATATATATATATATATATATATATATATATATATATATATATATATATAATGGATTACTGGATTAAACATTGTTTGTTAATTTACAAACGTAGTAATTATAAGTAGTGGAATTCAGCAAGCAATAACTGAGAAGTAATAAATAAGAACAGAATATGTTCAGCGAAAAGAAACCAGACCTCGTTGAATAAATAAAGAGTTCTGTTCAAATTTCCCAGAAGGTTATCCGGGTAGACAAGTGCGTGATGAAGACTGGAGTCTACAGTGGCTGAAACATTGTGATAATAAAATCAACTATCAGGACAGCTGTCCGAGTGTAAATAATAATAAAAAATTCAGACGGAAATTAAATTATATTCTTATATATTAATTTAACATTAAATTAAATTATAATTAAATTAAATTATAATTAAATTATAATTTAAATAAATTATATTCTTATGTAATAATTATAACATTAAATTAAATCATAAATTAAATTAAATTATAATTAAATTAAATTATAATTAAATTAAATTATCTTCTTATATTATAATTATAACATTAAATTAAATTATAATTAAATTAAATTATAATTAAGTTATAATTAAATTAAATTATATTCTTATGCAATAATTATAAAATTAAATTAAATTATAAATTAAATTATGATTAAATCATATTCTTATATAGTAGTTATAACATTAAATTAAATTATAATTAAATTAAATCATATTCTTATATATTAATCTTAACATTAAATTAAATTATAATTAAATTAAGTTATAATTAATTATAATTGAATTCAATTATATTCTTATATAATAATTATAACATTAAATTAAATTATAAATTTAAATCAAATTATAAATTAAATTAAATTATAATTAAATTAAATCATATTCTTATATAGTAATTATAATCGTTATATTTATTTTTTATATGTTTATATTTGATTTGTAACCTGTAGTCGATATTAATTTTGTCAAATTTTCTTAATTACACAGCGGCCCTTTCAGTAAATGCATTTCAGTTTTAGTTTCCCCCGCCCCATCTCTCTCCCCACCTCTTCTTTCCTTTCCTCTCCCTCCCTCTTATTCTGATCTTTAACATTAGATCGTCTATGGTGTGTGTATGTCACCACGAAATGTATCTTTAATGTATTAGACATCCGACAACATTCATATTTCCCCCTTCCACTCACCTCTATAAAACTTCTCTCTGTTAAGGTTTAATCTCCCACCTTCTCTCGTCTGTTACCCCTCTCTTCAGCTCTAACATTCGTCCCACACTCTCATACTTACACTCTCTCTAAATTCTATTTTTATTTCCGGAGTTGTTTTTTTTCTGTTTTCTTTTTGAATTTGTAGGTCTGATGAATTGGATCGTATTTACGATTCCAATGAAATAAATTATGACCATGGAATATTAGTGTTTAAGCCTTTTTATTATATATATATATATATATATATATATATATATATAAGGGTTACTCAATGACACCTATTTTATTAGACTGGCCTACGACAAATATTGGTTTTATATCAGTATAGGTAGAAACGTCACGCTATTAGCCTATACTGCTTTATAGAGCAGCAGAGCGACAGTCTGTCAAAATAAAGCCTGACATGAAAGTGCATGCGAAACAGAGATGTATCATTGAAATCTTTTCAGTCGGAAAAATATTGCACTCAAATGAAATTCAGCCACATTTGTTGAACGTTTATAGAGACCAAACAATGGATGTGAACAAAGGTAGCTATTGGGTAATGCATTTCGGCAGTGACAGCATCGATATGTATGACAAGTCACCTGTCACGTTTACGAGTGCAGCATGGCGACTCATGTTCATCGCTACTGAATATCCAGCATTTTGTAGCTAAAAGCTGACGGGTTCTGTCCAGTCGCGTTGTTGCGTTTCATGTATCTATTGTTGGGTTATGTGGAAACAAGCAAGAGAGAGTTCAGATCCTCTTTGATAGAGAGAAAAGCTTCTTTTTTTCTCTCTTTTTATTTGGGGGGGGGTTGAGAACTTTTTAGCATTTATTCGTAAATAAATCATATTTTATAAATTATTAAACTTATTAGTTGGTCTCTTATTTTAAATTTATCCTTAATGAGAACGGATGTGAATCCATTCACTGATGATGAGAACCGTAAGGCGTAAGAGAAAGTGGTGGGGGGATGATGATGATGATGATGATGATGATGATGATGATGATGATGATGATGATGATGATGATTTTTCTCTTGGCTTCTTGCTGTTAAAATGCTGGGTTAAAAACTTAAAGAGCAGAGCAATGTTTGAAAAACCGCTAATGCAGTAACTTGAATAACGCCAGCTAGTGGGTGGTCAATGTACTTTGAGTAAAGATGAGATACATAGATAGATAGATAGATAGAGAGAGAGAGAGAGAGAGAGAGAGAGAGAGGAAAACTGGGATAGATAGATAGATAGATAGATAGATAGATAGATAGATAGATAGATAGATAGATAGATAGATAGAACGAGAGGGATAGTTGGGGAGGGAGAGTAAAAACTGGGATAGATAGATAGATAGATAGATAGATAGATAGATAGATAGATAGATAGATAGATAGATAGATAGATAGATATGAACAGACTGAGATAGATAGATAGATAGATAGATAGATAGATAGATAGATAGATAGATAGATAGAGAGAGAGAGAGAGAGAGGGTGGGGGCAGAGGGATAGGAAAAACCGGCATAGATAGGTAGATAGAAAAAGAGAGGGGAAGGGGTAGACGAAATAAAACTGGAATAGATAGATAGATAGATAGATGTGAACAGGCTGAGATGAATCTGAAGACAATGAAAAAGACAGATCTGAAGGCAAAGAGATAGATAGATAGATCTGGAGTGAATGAGATAGATAGATAGATAGATAGATAGATAGATAGATAGATAGATAGATAGATAATGAAAAAACCGTAACAGCTATATAGATTTTCGGTCTTTGGCCTCTTTATACATCTATGTATTTCAATTCTCCTATAGAATGACATACGAATTCATTAATATTTATCGATATCCGTACTTGCATTTAATACTTTCAAATATTTATGAAATCAATGTATACTTCACGGGTTCAAAACCCTTCGATATCTAGATTTCTCTTCTTCAAAGCATTCAGCAAAAACAATAACTCATCAAATGTCGATCAGATTGTCTATAAGTACATCCGAATATATTTTCGGCGCTACTAACTTTCCAAAATCTGACCAGAAATTTGGGTGGAAGGACTCTTTGGTCGGGCCATGAAATTTCCAGCACTCTTTCGTAGATGGGTGATCGCTGAGGAACACTAATTATTGTGCAGCTCCTTTGCCAGACTAAACGAAGACTCGTAAATAAATGGCAAACTGTCGCCAGCCTTTGAAGCATGTTGCATTTTAAAATTGAACAATTTTGAATAGTTGGAACATATTAATCTGTTCGAAGGCACTTCGTCGTGAAATTGTTAGTAAACTTTTCTTGCTAGATCAAGTAGTGAGTTCGATCCTCACGTGCTTTCGAACCTGCGCTATACTTAAGCTTCATTTATAAATCGCTGTTCAGATAGTAATGGCATTTTATGAGAACGAGGCTAAAAAATTGTAATGCGATGAAAGTTTATTGTATTGAAACATTGTGTTCGGAAAGTCATGACGTTTTTTTTAATTTTTATTTATTTATTTTTTTTTTTTTTTTTTTTTTTGGATAAATTAATAACTTAAAGATATTATTTATTTACCTGTACTACCCGGTCCAGGAATTGAACCTACAATGAATAATTATGCTACCAAATTCAGGAATCAACTCTTTAATCCGCTACGATATCCTCCTAAATTAAATAAGGGCTACATTTCGAAATTCCTTGAAAGTTGCCCGGATCGATAGTTTCCTGAAAAAGGTCGAAAGCCACAATGTCCGAAACGACGTGATAAAAGCAAACATGAGGGCAATAATCCGACTGTAAGTAAATATAATTAAAAAAATGGAAATGATAAAAAAAAGTAATATTTGGGGGAGGGGGGCACACAATATTTCTTCTTTTTTATCATTTTTCCCTTGTTGTTGTTGTTATTGTTGTGATTCTTCTTCCCCTCCTCCTCCTTCTTCTTCTTCTTCTTCTTATTCTTCTTCCCCTCCTCCTCCTCCTCCTTCTTCTTCTTCTTCTTCTTCTTCCCCTCCTCCTCCTCCTCCTCCTTCTTCTTCTTCTTCTTCTTCTTCTTCTTCTTCTTCTTCTTCTTCTTCTTCTTCTCAAAATTTTCTTTCACTGAAGAATTTCTTCGATAAAGGTTTTTTTTTTGTTGTTGCACCTCTTTTATCTTCGGGGATATAACATCCCTCATCTCTTGTACTGTAACTGTTTCCATGACAAACCCTGTCCCCCTGGAGTAAAGAGGGTAGGAATGGCATCATTGAATTACGCAGACTTGCACTGACCCTGAATATCTAGGGGTGAAAAGAATGACTGACGCTGGTTTGTGATGTCTTCAAACCTCGTGGGTCCGTAATTGTCAACATCTGTTAAGGCAATTCCACAGGCAGTTGAGACACCATGGAGCTGAGGTCCCGTAGCGGGGCAGTAGAAGGTGGGGAAGAAATGAACAGGAATTTAACCTCGTTTTCAAAGATGAGTCATCGTCAAATAAGAGTCGTGAATAGAAAAGCACAAGTCAGCCGACAAACGCCTACGAATATTTTTTTTTTTTAATAGTTCTGCTCCGGCTACCATGGAGCATGAAGTGGCGTAGCAATTCACAATCAAAGGCTTGCCAGTATCATCCTCTTGCTACCTTTTCATAACAGGTGTTCTTCTGGTCAACCGTGGGAGAACCAACTCTGGCACAAGGCCTGGATAGTAGAGAAACTTCAAAAGAGAATGCTTAGCAATGATTTACTCGGTTACAGGCTATATCCCTGAGATGAGGTATTATGTCCATATTTTTGGTATATCGGGTCCGTACCGATTTTTCAATATCACTCTATATTTCTGCGATGAGGTGTTACATAATACCTCATCTCAGAGATATAGACAGATCTTGAAGAATCGGACCGGACCAGATATACCAAAAATAAGGACATAATACCTCTTCTCAGAGACACAGACAGATATTGAAGAATTGATACGGACCCGATATATCAAAAATAAGGACATAATACCTCATCTCAGAGATATAGACAAATCTTGAAGAATCGGTACGGACTCGACTACAGGCGTCCGAAATTCTACGTGCCGTGTTCATTCAGGAGATGAGCGAACACGGCTCTCCACGACTCCCTATATTTTGTAGCTCTTAATTATCTTTTTACTATACTTTCCACTTTGTGTTGTACAAGGCGTTTACACAAGTAGGATTTCTCTCTATTTCCATCTGATCCTCTTGCCATCAATATATGTCCTTCTCGAAGCCGTCTTTCCTCATTCTTAAAGAGAAATTTCAATTGTTCATTTCTGATTGTAAGTACAAGTGTCTTTTTTTGTTTCTATTTTCCTTAAATCTTCCTAGTTACTCGCATGTTTAGTCCATCGTATTCTCAGCATCCTTCTGTAGTACCACATTTCTGTTGCCTGAAGTTACCAATTCATCTGTGGGCAAATTGTCAAGCATGAACCGTTATATGAGCGGATTTATATCTTATAGTAGTTCATTAGGCCTTTCTTTGTTTCTAACAAACTTTTTTTTTAAATTTTTATCTTTCCCGGCGAAGACGTGTATATACGTTTTTTGGGGTTTTTTTTTCTGAAAGTGTCTTTTTCAGAAACGGACGAATAAACACGTCCAAAACATAACGTCTAAATGAAAGTTACTAATATGTTTATATGTCGATCTTGATTCTTTTTATGCCCTTCCGAGCTTGAAAGGAGTCCAGTTGTCAGCTCATATGTCTGGCAGAGGTGTTAGCCACCTTTCGGGTACTTCAAGGTACCTCAGTTTCTTAGTTACTAGATTAAAAACAAATAAAAAAATCCGTCTGAAAATGAGCCATTTTCCCCAAAATAACTGGCGGGAAAATGGTTAATTCTTTGTTTAACTTCTCGAAGACATGTTTCGCTATTCCAGTGAACTTTCGCATTTTCAAGACATATTTTCGACTGTCTTTTACGACACTTCCCAGATATTTAAATTCCTGTACTTCCTTGATTGTCAAAATCTCCAATTTGTAGCTCGCGTCTTGGACTAAACCTTTTACTGACAACCATACACTATGTCTTCATGCAACAGATGGTTAGTCTTTTCGTCTCGCACTCCTTTACTACCTTTTCTTTCTATCGGCGAAATAACCCTCTATGTGCTGCTATTTTACCCATAGCTGGGGGAGAAGAGTTGGATTCATACATTTCCCAATGATATCAGCACGTAATTGAATGTAATGAACTCGACCGGAATTCGAACTCTGCTCTCCGATTCCTCAATCCGAGCCTCTATCAATTACGCCACCGTGCTCATAGACGGATGCATTCGAAAAGGATGGATGAGGGTTCAGTAAATATCTAAGTAGTTTTTTTTCGGCTCTCTGGAATGCACACACATATACACACACACTCTCTCTCTCTCTCTCTCTCTCTCTCTCTATATATATATATATATATATATATATATATATATATATATATATATATATGTCCTATTTTTCACCATGTGTGATATTGATGGTATTGAGTCCTTTCTCATGAAATCACAATTGCGCTGGACAGGTCATGTGTTTCGTATGCAAGACAACAGAATTCCAAAAATGCTCATGTATAGTCAACTTGACAATGGTCATCGAAACGTGGGTCGGCCTTTGCTTAGGTACAGGGACAAGCTGAAGAGTATCCTCTTAGCTGCGAATATAAATCACACTACCTTTGAGAACATCGTAATTGATCGTAATGAATGGAAGATTACATGCTACAATGACATCAAGAACAAGGCAGCATCAAACATTGTCAAGCTTCGTCAAACTAGGGAAAGGAATAAAATATATGCTGCTGTTCCAGCCATATACTCCAAGAATCCACGCTCTTGTACAATCTGTTGACTTCTTTGCACATCACTAGCAAGACTGAAATGTCACTTGCGACTCACACACAAGTTTAAATAAACAAAGTTGTCGGAACCTCATACGTCGAAACCGACGGGAGAGTCCATCATATCCTAGCCGTATGTTCTTCACTGGTGCACTGTGTGTTACATGTCAGATGATACTATAATCAGGCTTTCCATCTCCTAGATTCATGTTGACCCTTAACTATTCTAAGAAGCATATTCGGCCTTTGCCAACTTACTTCAGGCTGGTTTGAATTCAGAGCTTTCATTCTCCTAGACTGACTGCCAATCAAGGATATATGACTCAGTTTGTCCTGCTATTTAAACACAGTAGGGGGCGTAGAGATGGATACAACTTCAGTGAAACTGACAAGGAAAAGTGCTCAATACGAAGCAGAGAATTCAAAATTGCAATAAAGTGCACAAAAGAAAAGTAAAACCAGAGCTACTTATGTTTCACCCTCTAATCGAAGGATCACCCGGCCAGGTTCAGCTTTTAGTCCTATTTAGATCGTGGTGTCGGCCTTAAATACGGGGAGACAATTATTTTTTTTTTCCTCCACCTGAAGTGATTCTCTTCCGGGTTCCATATTAGAAGCACACACGCCTTTTGCCAACTCTCTCCAGGCTGGTTGGAATTCCGTGTTTTCATTCTCCTAGACTGGTTGCCAATCAATAATATAGTGCCCAGTCTCTCTTATCAGCCGTTATCCATTACCCCACACGCAGATCTAAGCTTACAGCACCTGATATTCCCAAGCGGTGTGTGAAAGGTAGGCCGGTAGGGAACAGCAATGTATGACTATCTCATTCGCTATGACTGAACGCATGCAGTTTTCATGTCTTGTCGGGGTTGTGTGGCCACTACCCAGCTCTGTCAACACCGACATATGCAGTCCAGATTTACCCATAATGTGACTTGTGGCTTTCCTTATGGATATTTCAGACTCTATATATATATAAATACTACGTTACTTAAAAATCGA